ATGTAAAAAAATATCAAATTAAATCAAATTTGTTGCATTTTCTCTGAGAGGAGGGGGGATTTCTAATATGGATGCTGAAAAAATCCATGTTTGTTTTTGCGTCCACTTAACTATCGGTGCTCCATCCAAATGTAAGATTAAGTTAACTGGATGGACGTTGTCGTGTTTTTGTAACGATTTTTCTTCATAAATTTTTCCGTTAAGGATATCACACGGAAGATAATGTTTATGTACATATGGATAGGAATGAATTAAATGTTTGTTTCGACGTATTACTTGTCGAATTTGATCTTCTGTTGCTTTGACGATCTCAATTGTATCTTGCACGACGTGTGTTTTGCCGTTCAATTCACAAAAAAGTGCACATTTGTTTGAATCACTGAGAGGTCTGTCACATTTGGCACATAACAATTGTTCTGTAAATGATGGAGGTTTTTTAATGATTCCCATCAATTTTGATTCACTTTTCACTAAATTATGACCATTTGGAAGAGCCAATGCGATTAACTGTAAGAGACGTTGAGTATTTGAACGATCAAGTCTCGCTTGTGCACAAAATTTAATAATTTGTTCATGATAAGCTGTACGAAAGACAGAAGCACCAGGATAAAGAGGAATGTTTTCCTCGACGTCTTTGTCTGTTGATCCTCCTAAACGAGAAAGAAAACAATTCCACAAAGCACCTTGAAATTAATGAAACTGGAAATAAAATAAATAATACTTATCTAATTTGATGATCTGACATGCAAACTTCAAAATAGCAAAATTCTGAGCTAAAAACAAACAAGAGGAGCAAAATATAGCATGCAGTAGTATTAAATAATAAAGCAAGAGTAAAGCTTGCAGGCTAGACTATCCTTTTCTACTCTCTTACCAAACATTTCTCTTTCTAAGTCGTTCCATACATCACTTTCTTCATCTTCATCATCATTCTTAAGTGAATCAATGTTCTGTCCACCTGCTACCTATGGAGATAAAGAGAAAGCTGAGATGTTTAAAATATAGAACTAGAATGTAGAAACAGTTAAGTATTGAGAATTCCTACTTCTTCTTCTTCTTCTTCTTGCATTTGTTCGTGCACTTCAAAAGTCATCGATTCAATATTGAGCGCAGCATTTTTCCTATCGGTGTGTGCATATTTACATCGATTTCTGGAACTTGGCTCTATAGAAATAAAAATACAAAACAGCCAGTTTGTTTACAAGAAAACGCTGTGCTTACTTACCTAATCCACCTATAATACACAAAGCCAGATTTTGTAATACATTTTCG